AGTATTTACATAGTTTCGCTTCAGCGGGGTTCTTGTGCATTACTGCGCATGGCGTATATAATAGAGTAACTATTAATTAACTATTGCATGGCGTATAACTATCAATGAACTATTACACGGCCACAACTTACCTAAACGTTATGCGTGATGTGACAGCAATAAGTTCACATGTAACGCAAGTGCAGAGCCCCTGTTTACAAAATGGATAAATCTCTACTGAAAATAAGGGAGGCACACCGTGACTACCAACCCAAACGTCAATAGAAGACCATGTTATGCACTAGGTCAGCGCAATTGTCTATGCCAGCACAGCGTGCGCTCCGAACGCGTATGGACGCGCAATTTCGACGAGGATTTCCTGGCGGTCATTTCCAGTCCATCACATCAATGGCTGACAGTCTTCGTACACTCAAACGCGCCACGGCGCTGCAGCCACAGCTACAGAGCGGAGCCACGCGGTGGCCTCGCAAAAGGCGCGCAAGGCTGAGTGCGCACGCGACTTCGTCCACCGTCCGCTACAAACGACAGGTCTTTCAACACGAATCGCGTCCGTGCCCTCGTGTATTTGTTCTACGAACACAGCACACGACCGGGTTGTCCCACCATATACCTTCAAGCCTGCGCAGACCGTGACGAAGATCAAACATCCGGCTTCAACTCAGGCGTGCACGCAACGGGTCTTGTACGGTGCATTCCGTCGGGCAGGAGTTCGCCGAACAAAGGTGGCTATAGCCTTCCCGACGTGCTGAGAGATATGCAAATACGAGAGGCAAACCGGGGTGGGTCAGTGAGGAACGGCTCCTGTCTTGCGTACCCACTGCGACATTCACGAACTTCCTATCCGTATACTTGTCTGCACGCTCTTAGCGTCACCGGAAAGACGTAATCTTTTCGGTGCCGGTATCTCGGATGTTTCAGCTGCGCTTGCGTGCACGGCATTCGTCGTGCGTCTGCGTGTATATTGAAATCAGTTTGATTACGAATGTTCCGGTGCACTTGAACGCTGTGATGTCGGTCACTCATTGTTTACGTGGTTGAGTTATACGTAGTTAGGCACTTAGGTCAAACATGGCACCGCATTGTTTGTGTACGCGTTGTAGCAATACTCACGCCGGACGTTACGCAAAGTTTCTGTGCAAGCGCGCGCGCCACAGCAGCCTTAGAGGTTACCGAACACTTACAATGTGGATAACGCACTGCTTCCTCGCGGCTTATCAAGAACCTTGTCACTCAAGGATGGCTCGCCGGCATTGCGCGCGTTTGAGACTTCCATTATTGAGACATGATTAAGTGACTCATGGCAAGACATACTGCATATGAAGAGTCACTCAAGTGCAGCAATATCCGGACAGATCATCTGCAGGATAGTCCTGCCTGTGGCAAAATTATCCCCATGAACACCACTTCCGTTGTTAGAATTGTACTTTTCGATTGTTTCCAAGATTGTCGGAAATAGATTGCAGGAACAGTGACTTGATCATAACGATTAACTAGTTACACGCGCATTCAGTAATGACATTCAGTAATACCATGCACGCCGAAGGATTGTCCAGCGCTAGGCCTGCAAGACCTGGCCTTTCTCTGTAAATATCAGGGCTTATACGTCTACTAGAGCTGTGGTTCTTAGCAGCCTGCTTTTTTTTTTATTTTTATGTGATCCACACCAGACACACAACATCAATAACGAGTTGCACGTATTGAGGCAATAAATTGAAAGGCGCAAAACCCTCAATTACTCCTTCCTGATTCAAAATGAACCCTTGATTATTTGACCTCAAAGATCGCAAGCCAGGCCCGTGGCCTCACGACTGACCAATCAGCCGTCTCCCGCCATATATGAATGTCCAACAGCGGCAGCGTGAATACCTCTCGCCAGTTCCGTGCAGTGCCACGAAAGCTCTTGTCCGCGTCAACCAGACATAACATAGAAGGTGAAGACATGCTTCTCCACTGTACATGAACGGAGGGATTAGTTGCTCGCAATGGGCGAGCTCTCTTCACTTCTCGGACATCTATGGCCTCTTCCTATTACGAACAGGCTGACACAGATCATAAGCGTTTATAACAGTAGTTTCCGGGGTTTCATGTGCTCAAACCACAATAAGATAACGAAGTACGCCCTAATAGAGGGCGCTGAAAAAATCGCCACCTGGAGTTCTTTAACGTACGCCTAAACCAACGTGCCCCGCTACGGTGGTGTAGCGGCTAAGGTACTCGGCTGCTGACCCGTAAGTCGTGGGATCAAATCCCGACTGCGGCGGCTGCATTTTCGATGGAGGCGAAAATGTTGTAGGCCCCCGTGCTCACATTTGGGTGCACGTTGAAGAACACCAGATGACAAAATGGTTTCCGGTGCCCTCCACTACGGCGTCTCTCATAATCATATGGTGGTTTGGGACGTTAAACCCCACATGCATATCAATAAAAAATCAACTTAAACCTACATACACGAGTATTTCGCCTCCATCGAACTGCTACCGCCGCGGCAGACATCGAACCCGCGTCTTTCCGGAAAGCAGCCGACTACCGTAGCCGCCGCGGTGGCAACCGTAAACGTTCGCTGCACTGAACATAGTTGTCTAGACGGCGACTTCCATCCCTGCGGGTGATCCGCGGAGACGCAGCAGCCGAGCGGCAAAGGCGGGCGTTGCACGCGATGGCCCAGTTTCGGCGCGACCCGCACGAGGACGATGCCTTCTCCCTCACATCCGCGAGAGGGGATTCTCCGTTAATGGCTCGCTTCCTCCTCTTCCTCGGCGACCGTGACCTGCAACGGAACGCGCGCGCGCCGGGACGCGAGAACAGCTGGGATGCCCGAATAGCGCCTCGGTTAGCCCCGACTCCTTGGCTGGAAGGCCACAAGCACAGCACCATCGCGCGCGTTGTAAACACGGGCGCGTTGTCTTCGGCACGAATCACACTGGTCTCACAAAATGGATGGACGTTGGACATCTTCCGAGAGAGCGACGCTGTATGTGGATGGAGAATGTAAACAGAATGATACGAAAACGATGTCTTCCTGCGCATCGTTCCGCCATTTCCCGTCACAGTGTGTCACGTCCGGTTCTGACTGAGTTCGGCCGCCGTAGTTAGTTGCTTGTGTTCTTATGACAATATTAATTAACCAATGGTTGCTTAATAATATAGTTTGGTAGTGTTCCGTCGACTGATGCTTCCCAATGTTGACTAGCTGTTGGCTAGCGTCAGTAGTTACAACAAGAAAACTGTCTTCATTCAAACCAAATCTATTGATTGCGTCGTGTTCGTTTCATTTTACATCGACTTTTTTCTTCTGATTTTCTGCAGGTTCGGTAGGGTCATGCCTGGAAGTTGTTGATTAGGTGGGATGAGGTGGTGGGGAGGTTGGGGGGGGGGGGGCAATGATGTTCGTATGAATTATTTCTTAACCGCATCCTTGGTTGGCTCACTCCAGTATGACCGGTGCTTAAATTGATCTACATTCGTTTGACTAACACGCAACATGCTATTATGTCCTTAACATCTCTATCTCTCTGTTTCACGAATAGCTAGTGAATGCATATTTTATTTTATTCTCGGTTTCAAAGCAAGACAGTCGACATCTTTTCCAGGCATCAAGGCGATCTGCGTATATCCAGAGTTTGATTTTCAGTTCTCCATCTTTCTTTTTTTTACTTTGTATCGCTATATATAGAATTGAAAACAAGGCACTGATTCCCAGATTAGTAATTCAAAAGCTCGTTCTCTAAAACAATGTGCTTCTCCCACGTTCAGTGACGTTACGCTACTCCGAATCACTATTGCCTATGCGTCAGCCTTAACCTGTAAATGCACAATTCTGAAAGAAGCAAGCTGCAAACGGCACTTGTAGGTGTTGCAGTGTAGTGCTTTAGCACAAACGTGTGAATTTTAAGCGCTTGCAAATGTAGCTGCGATGCTTCTTGCTCTGTTACTACATTCGACATGTGATTGCCTATTTCTATGTAACGCATCTATAAAAATACTGTTTTGTTTTTTGAAAAACCCCCGACGTCTGAGCTCATCATAAGAGGTAAACAAAAGTATACGTCATTACTAGTTAGTGTTGCAATATGCCTTGCTGCTGTAAAAAAGAAAGTGGAAAGGTTATAGTGCTCATAGGAGAAGAGATGAGACCTGTGCGAAGGTCTTGTAGTATTTAGTAATATTGAAATGAATTCACTGGTTTTACTGATACATCAAATTTAGATGACGCCTCACACGTCTAACATTATGAAAAGTGGTTCGGAGAATCGACGGGGGGGGGGGGCATTAAGTGCGGTTATGGCATGGCGTGTGCGTTTAGTTAAAAACAGGTAACGCTGATCGTATCGGTGAGGTTGGAAGGACGAGTCTCGATGGAAAACTGGTTGCCTAACCGCAATCTTGGACTTGTGGGAGCGCAAGGAAACCTTTCGACTAGCTTTGCTCTTGAACTTGAGTATTCCACGTCAGTAACGTCTTTGGCCTGTTTTCAAGGACACTGCAAACGTAAACATCTCGCCGTGAACATTTTTTGCTGCCTGTCACTTTTATGCCACATTTTTATCTCGAATGTTCCACTTGCGCGTGTTTCAGGTAGAATCTGCAGAGACTTTCAGGTAGACTGCAGAGACCCACCGAATGCTAGTTTATTGCTTCTTGCTTTTTTAACTTTGTGAATACCAAGGGTCCATGTACGTTTACTGTTTGCGCAGGTGAGCCGATAATGCTTGTTCAGGAAGGTGACTCTGTAGGAATCGTAAACTAATTGCGTCTCTTTATGCGGCGTGAACGGTTGATGTTGACCGATTTCGCAATTGTGAGAACGAGACTTCGCGCCTACGAGCTCGGAGCTCTGTTAACCGATATAGTGATGTCGATTTTCTGTATAGTACTAAATATATCATCCAATAATATAGCACCAACTATTATCGGTCTTCGTACGTTTGGAAGCAAACATGCTTCGCCCGACCCATTTGCGCCAGTCGTAACCAGTCAGCCAACGAAACAAACTCCCTCACCTGTTCAGCGACGCCTCCCAGTTCGACAGCCAGGTCTCCGGCCGAGTTGCCCACGCCGACGATGAGTACCCGGCGGTCTTCGAATCCTCGCGGAGTCCGATAGTCCTGCGAGTGCATCACACGTCCCGCGAACACCCGGCCCTCGCCTCGCTCGTCGCCCAGACCCTTGAAGCGGGGCCACAGCGGCTGCGCGTGGTGTCCCGTGCACAACATCACGGCGTCCCTCTCTTCTTCGAACTCCTGGTCTTCGCCTTCGCCACAGTCCAGCTTTCGGATGCGGAGCGTCCAGGTCGTGTCCTCGCAGCCCGGTCTGGTGGGCCTCACGTCGGCCACTTCGTGCCGGAGGCGCACCTTGTCTACGGCGCCGCTGGCGCGGCCGTAGTCGACGATGTAGCGCGCCATGTGCGAGTTGTGCATGTAGTTGGGCAGCTTGTCGTGCGGCGGGAAGTCGCTGAAGGCAGACATCTCCTTGCTCGAGTTGATCACCGTCGAGCGCATGACGCAGGCGCGTCCTCGCTCCACGGTCTCCGTGTAGTGCCAAAGGCCCGCCAGCACGTCCGTGCGCTCGTAGCAGACGACGTCCAGGCCTTCTTCGAGACATGCCTTGACCGCGGTCAGACCGCTGGCGCCCGCACCGATGACGGCGACCCGCTGACGTCTCCGGGGCGCCGCTTCCGAGGCGGGCGCCCGGGCGCCCGCCGCCGCTTTTGGGATGTTCGTCATGGTTTGTCGGCCCGGCGTGTGCCCGCGATGCCCCGGTCGTGGACGCGAATTGGGGGTGTGTGCTGCGGTCACGTGACCGGAGAGGAGGAGGCAAAGGGTGTCCCGGTGAGGGGAAGTGCTCGCGGAAGAGTCTTCCTGGCCGTGCATTGCGGTCCTACCTCCAAACTGCACGCGTCAATGACCCCTACCCGGTTTCTCGAGTGGCGGTCCTAACGGTGTGGGCTCGGTAACCGCCACTCTTCTCTCTCTACTACGTACTCGTTTCGGCAAACAATACGTGCTCCATGCAGGTGCACGTGCGCTGCGACACGTCCCTTTAAATCTTCGGTCACGTGGGGAGACGCCGAACGTTATGCTTAGCTGTGGCAAGCGTGCGAAAGAACCTATACGCCTCCGCGACTTCCGAATCGAAATGTGAAGCAGTATAGTTTCGCATAACTTACAATGAGTTTCTATTTCCACTTCTTTCAATGGCGTGCACAGCTGCAAGTACTGGTTGCTAGTGCACTCGTTGCCTTAGCTCTTTTCACTTGGTACATGACTCACCCACTACGCGTGTCTCACACTGTCACAGCGTTCATATAGAAAGACGGGGCATAACTTTATGCAACGGCGAAACGATGACACGTATACCGGCTTCTACTGCTCACACGCAACGCTTCTTCAGTGAATTTTGCCATACAAGAGGTGGTGTTCTTTCTGAAAACAGGCATGGATTCTAGTTTGATACACTTGAAGCTCGTTATAAAGAAATCTGATAAGGCGAATTATCGTTCATAGCGAACTTGTCGCGAATTTCGGATGGTCACGCTTCATTTCAGTGAAATTCTGTTTTCTTTATAAAATAAAAGAAAACGTGACATCTCCGCAATAACAGCTGTGACGAAGAAATGTTTGGTTTGATCAACGCTCAAAGATTGAAAGGTAGCCCAAAAACACAATAAATACGGAAATTCAAGTCAAAATTACATATCCTTTAAAATGTGGTGCGTGAATTGGTTTTGAATACCATCAAGAAAAGTACATAGATCCCACATTTCTCCAAATAAATGTCAAAGAAATCCAGTTTTACCAAACGAACTTTGTTCAGTTGTAATATCACCTTATTCTTCTACCAGCCTCTCTATTTTGAAATGCCACACCGAGAAAAGCAAGGATTACCTACCGTATAGTCAATTCGAGGCCTATATAAAGTGATTTTGTATCTAGGATTTTTGTGCGAGCCAGAAAGCCGATTTGCTTGAGGCAATTTTTGTCTCTTTATTTACAACAAATATCGCATACATGAAATATTTGTGGCTACCTTGCCGCTTTGTTCGAATGAGGAGCGACCGCACCAAGTATACTTACGCGTGCCTACTTCCTTGTACCGTTCGTTATGCCTCGAATGCATTACAATGCTTGTACAAACGCCTTGCCAATCGTCTGCTTCGTTTTCCACACGGCAAACTTGTCCTCAGTCACATGCTACCTGAACTACGAGGAAGCTCGACAAAGCACTATATACGGATCATGTGCAGTCCCGCTCAGCAATGAAATTGCCCCTTTGTAAGGCATAATAAAATTGATACGTACTCGCCGGTGTTCTGCCTCTAGCGAAATGCATGGTCACGAGACGTTAATTACACACTTTCTAGATACAAACGCACAACTAATGAGGTTAACTTGCACGTCTTCAATCTACGTGGGAGCTACCGTACTGTGACTGTAGCAATATTGAGGCTGCTTTCGGCTACAACACAAGCCCCCGAGAACAGCACGCTTCAGTTAGCTTATGAACCAACGGAAATGCCAACGAACATGCTGTGAAGTACTATCGCGTCTGATGAAAAAAATCTTTGTAAATTTTTACCTTTCAGTCGACAGCACGGCACAATCCAAGTATACGGACTCAGTGAGCGTTTCGCGGATCGTCGTGAACCTGGGAACTGGGCGTTGGCTCAGTTGCGCGCGTTTTTTTCCAAACTACGAGGCGCGACCAAACTGAGCATGCGCAGAGGGTGAACTTGATTTCGCGACATGTTCGTAGCGCGTCACCAAGGTCGACGAAATCTCTCTTGCTGAGCTGAGCTGGTTTTGAAAAACTGTTATGCGTGTCGGTTGAGGCGACTTTATTCATTGCTCGAGTCGTTCGTGGAGACGACGTAACATTTTCCGCGGCGTTTTCAGCCGTGGCTTACTCGTGCCGCTCCACGCTTTTCGCAGCAGTACGCCGAGGCAAGGTGAATAATAATGGTGCGCGTCTGAAGGTCGATGAAAGCGGCTGGCTGTGAGACAGACTCACGTGTGCGTTGCTTCGCGAAGCGTGCGAGATTTACCGAACGCGCTAGACCGAAGAGGCCATGAACAAGCGGGCACTTCCGGGCACGCTGCCGGGCCGTCGCCCTTTTCTGCTGGGTGGCAAACACTGAGCGCGCCTGTGCCATTGCTCACTCACTCACTCACTCACTCACTCACTCACTCACTCACTCACTCGTTGCATACCGGTCACCCGCACTTGTCGATCAGTCGCTCAGAGATCAATCCAATAATTGACTGTGTCATTAACTGAGTCCATTACTAATTGCATCATGACACCACACGACAAGAACATCATCGAAGTCCTGACGAGCTCACGTAAGGGGGAACCAGGGACGAGCCGATGGCTTCATCTATGGCGGGACTGGCACTCTCTAAGCGATTTGCACACTTGCCAGAGAATACGCAACTCAGTCGCTCACTCACTGCTCATTCAGTCGCTCAACTCAGTCGCTCATTCAAACGTGGAAGAATTTCTTTCACAACGCACACAAGGGCGTAGGACTCTTTACGATCACTGATCCTGTCTTCTAGTGATCTGGCAGAGTTTTATCGACAGAGGACTTCTTTAAACCGTACCCTTACAATCTCTCAGTCTAAGTAGCAGACTGAACGCCAGAAAATGTCAGTAATCTGTCTTCTACGGGATAATGTGCACGAAAAGAATCCAGAGCATATACAAACGTTGCGCAACCTTACGCAGCGAGGTTAGCATCTATCACGTCTAGCCTCAAAAAATGGCCTTGATCTTCCCGGTTACGCAAAAGGACCTCGGCGACTTTTCTCTTCGCTTCATGTCGCATTACCACATTCGCTGCCCCATTGCGTATGCGATCGTGCACACTTGCCCGTTGCTCTTTGACAAATATACGCACTTCTCATACTGGTTAGTAGTCTTGGTGAGAGTCCCATTTCTTCGGGATGAGGAGTAGAAATAGGCGTCTATTTCGCGAAGCGTTATCGTGGTGCCGCTTGTGCACTATAGGTGGGAGCTCTAGCCATTTCAAGAAGCCTTTGGCCATCGCTGCCTCTTTACGAATTAATTAAGTAATGCGTACACAGGCACGGCGGGTACCTCTTTACGCATTATTTCGCGGGTTCATTGCTGGCGGCGGCGGTTGAATTTCGATGAAGGCGCAATGGTAGAGGCACGTGTACTGTGTGATTTCAGCGCACGTTAAAGAACACCAAATGGTCGGAATTTCCGGGCTCCTCCACTATACGGTGTCTCTCGTACTCATATCGTAGTTTCGGGACGTAAAACCCCAGGTATTATTATTCATTTCTTTTCTTCCTTTTGTGCGCTGTGCGTCTTTCTAGCGGCAATGACGTCATATCGATAGCATCAAGTAGGATGATAATAGTGTAAATAATAAGACGATGGTCGCATGACGGCGCCATGTTGGGAATTTTCCGAACCCGGTCTGGGCATATCATGTTTAGGCAGACGATAGCCAAAACGATAACTGTAAGCACTGTGGAGCGAACGGGACTCTTGACCGCAATGTGGGAGTGCGATAGCTCTTCGGGGGTTCAAGCAAACATAAATTGCAGAGAGGCCTGGGAAGCCCTGCTGCGGGGCGAGGACACTGCTCCACAGCATCGAGCAACCCGCCTGGCGAAAGAAGCCGCGAACGGTCGAGACCTCTTTGCTTACTTTAATAACAGAGATACCAGTCCTCGTCACATAGGCCTGTGTGTCCGGCACAGAGAGTTGGCGGGCCGTCTTATGTGGCGGGACAATTAAGGTTATATTGTCACAATGCAGAAACAGCAGCAGTCGAATCCAGGAAACTCACTTTAATTGTACCAGAACACTGGCAAACTGATCGGAAGAGAACCTCGTCTTCTTCTCTCGCTGCGCGTGTTCTTCGTTGTTCTCTTGGCGCTGCTTATTCAATGTGGCATTTTCCCCCCTCCAGAGAGCAGCGTCCCGATGCTCTTCTACAAAAGACGGTGTAGTAGATGTATGGTGTAAATCAGTCCGAAAAGTAAGGCTTCATTCGCACAACGTGCACGATTTCTGGTTTTTGCTGGCGAGTTGTCGAGGGGCTGTCAGGAACGACCACGTAATTAGCGTCGCTCAGGCGTTGTAAAACTGTGTAGGGGCCAAAATACTTCTTCAGCAATTTTTCGGACAGTCCCCGGCGGCGGATAGGACTCCATACCCAGACTTTGTCACCGGCCCGATAGACGACATGTCGGTGTCGCAGATTATAACGTTGGGCGTCATAATTTTGCTGCTGGGTGATTCGGACGCGCGCAAGCTGCCTCGCTTCTTCTGCTCATTGGGTAAAAGATGCAGCGTCCAAATCGATGTCATTGCAGTCGTGCAGTAACATGGCGTCAAGCATCGTCGTCACTTCACGGCCATGAAGGAGACTGAACGGCGTTCTTCGTGTAGTTTCTTGCTGCGCTGTATTATAGGCGAACGTGATGTACGGTAGAATGTCGTCCCAGTTCTTGTGATCCACGTCAACGTACATACTCAACATGTCGGCAAGAGTCACTTGTTGAGGCGTTCTGTTAGGGCGTTGATTTGTGGATGATAGGAAGTGATTTTCCGATGGGCTGTTCCACTGAGCTCAAGCACTGTCTTCAGGAGCGCGGCCGTGAAAGCGGCACCTCGATCCAATATTATGATTGTTAGAGCACCGTGCCTCAGGACGATATTTTCTACGAAGAATCGTGCGGTTTCAACGGCGGTGCCACTTGACAAAGCCTTTGTTTCCGCATAGCGCGTAAGATAATCAGTGGCGACTATTACCCACTTGTTGCCAGCATGGGAAGTCGGATATTGTCCAAGGAGATCCATTCCAATTTGGGCAAAAGGTACCGTGGGCACTTGAATTGGTTGTAATAGTCCAGCTGGTTTTAACGGTGGCGATTTTCGTCATTGGCAATCGAGGCACGTGCGCACGTAATGCTTCACAATAGCTGGAAGTCTTGGCCAGTAGTATTTCTGTTGGATTCTGGCCAATGTGCGTGTGTATCCGAGATGACCAGACGTTGGCTCATCGTGGCAAGCACAAAGTATCTCCTCATGAAGTGACGTCGGAACGACATGTAGGTGGATGCTTCCTCAGGGGGAAAAGTTCTTCTTATAGAGAACACCACTACGTCAGCAGAATGACGGCAGGCTCCTTGCAAATCTTCTAGGGACGGTTGTTGTCCGGCCATTAAAAAATTCAATAAGAGGAAGCAACTCACTGTCTTCTTTCTGCTTGCACGAAATAGTA